GCTGCTCCACTTCCAGGGCAGCTCCCTGCTAATGTGCCTGGGAAGACAGCAGAAGATGGCCCAAGTCCTTGGGCCCCTGTCACCCACACGGAGACCTGAATGCGGTTCCAGACTCTCGGGCTCAGCGCAACCATTGCAACCACCTGGGGAGCAGGTAGATCTCTCCCTCTCCTTCTCTGTCACTATGCTTCTCCAGGCGAGTAAATCTTAAAAAAACAGTCACAATAAACAAAGAGTGGGATTTAGCCTGTCAGTTACCATGCCTGGGTCCCACATGGCACTACCTGGGTTCAATACCTGCCCGAGGCCCCAACTCCAGCTTCCTGCTAAAGCAGCCCCTGGGAGGCGGTGGTGAAGGCTCCAGGAACTGGGTTCTGGCCACCCACATGGACACCTGAGCCCAGCTCAGCCCAGGCCCAGGTACTGCAGGCATCACTTGGGGCATGAACCAGAGCTACAGAGACGATGGGCAAACTCACTGGCACTTCTCTCCCCAGGATGGGGGCAGGGAGCCCTTGCTGTGGGCCCTGTGGAAGAAGCACTGGCCATGCTCTTTCCAGCCTCCATGGCCTGCTCTGGGCCCACCTACCCCACATGGACCCCATTCCCCCCAGATGCCTGTGGGCATCCTCCAGTGCCAGCGACAGGGTGGGAAGGCAGGGCCCGAGTTCTGTTCTGTGCCAGGCTCTCAGCTGCCCGAGTTCCATCCCTCAGTTGTTTCCCAACTCAGAGACAAAGAGAAGCTTTATAAACAGGCCCTCTAAATCCCCAGCGTGGACCACCAAATAATCCTCTCTTGTTTAAAGATTTGTTTGGAAGTCCGAGTGGGGGCGGGGAGGGAGGGAGAAAGAAAGGGAGAGAAGGGGAGAGAGGGAGAGAGAGGGGGACGGAGGGAGAGGGGGGAGAGAGAGAGAAATCAATCTTCCATCCACTGGTTCACTCTTCAAATAACTGCATTGCCCAGAGCTGGACGGGGTTGAAGCCAGGAACTTCATCTGGGTCTTCCACATGGGTGTGGGGTGCTAGGACTTAGGCCATCTTCCACTGCTTTCCCAAGGTACATTAGCAGAGAGCTGGATCAGAAGTGGAGCAACGGGGACTTGAACCAGAACACATACAGGATGCTGGTATCACGGGCAGCAGTTTAACCTGCCGCCGCCGCACCAGCCCCACCACACAAACCTTTCTACAGTCATAGTTTCAGGGTCATGTGGACTTGGTGACTTCTCCGTCCTGCTGGAAGCTAAGTGAGAACCCCAGCATGCATGAGACATGGAGCGTGGTCTTCCACGGTGCCCACCTCTTGGAGAGTCTGAATCGTGACGTATTTCAATTTGTGTCGGCCAAAGCTCACACTAGCACCCCCTGCCCTGTGAAAGAGAGCTTCCTTTCTCCATCAAACTGAGTTCCAAAATGCGAGCCAAGCCAGAAGTCTGTGTTATGCATACAACAGTGCAGGCGGTGCGCAGGGGATCAGGGCTTGTTCAGGCACTGAGAGAGGACTCGCTACCTTCTTGGCAGCCCAGCAGGACATTAATCTGCTCCCCCCAACCAAGCACCACGTATGGGAATGACACAGGGCCTCAGCAGACCAAGACTCGACTCCACGTCCACTTCTCCCCATGCGAATTCATCAAAATTTTTTTTCCATTGTGGAGCCACGTACGCTCTGCCATGGTTTCTCACGCTGCTGTTACTGGGTCATCACCGACGGAAAGCTTCCTGCTGGTGCTGCGTATTCAACTTTATTTTTCACATCAGCTCATCTGTTTCACTCAAAGAGATAGCTTTTTGAGATTTATTTATTTTTAAGATGGAGTTACAGTTATAGAGAGAGAGAGACAGAGAGAGAGGTCTTCCATGCGTTGGCTCACTCCCCAAAGAGCCGCAATGGCCAAAGCTGGGCTGATCTGAAGCCAGGAGCCAGGAGCTTCTTCCGGGTCTCCCACACAGGTGCAGGGACCAAGCACTTGGGCCATCTTCTGCTGTTTTCCCAGGTGCATTAGCAGAGAGCTGGATTAGAAGTGTAGCAGCCGGGACTCGAACCAGTGTGCCCATATGGAATGCTGGCACCAGAGGCAGTAACTTTACCTGCTACACCACAGTGCCAGCTCCACAAATATGTTTTAAGAATGATTTTGGGGGCCGGCGCCGTGGCTCACTAGGCTAATCCTCGGCCTTGCGGCGCCAGCACACCAGGTTCTAGTCCTGGTCGGGGCGCCGGATTCTGTCCCGGTCGCCCCTCTTCCAGGCCAGCTCTCTGCTGTGGCCAGGGAGTGCAGTGGAGGATGGCCCAAGTCCTTGGGCCCTGCACCCCATGGGAGACCAGGATAAGTACCTGGCTCCTGCCATCGGATCAGTGCGGTGTGCCGGCCGCAGCGCGCCGGCTGCGGCAGCCATTGGAGGGTGAACCAACAGTGAAGGAAGACCTTTCTCTCTGTCTCTCTTTCACTGTCCACTCTGCTTGTCAAAAAAAAAAAAAAAAAGTAGAAATGTGTATAATATTTGCACCAATGCCATTCATTATTTCCCAAATACTCAAAGGGCCTAACCAACTTTGTACTGCCAGGAAGACCAGCCCATTGTTCTTGGGATTATCTGTTTTGGTCTGCACTGCCCAGTTCATATCCTGAACTTTGGATCCCTGTGGCATCAGCACACAGTCTGTGCTTGGCAAACCATCATCTGCTTGGCCATTGCCGTGCTACAGCCAGCAGAACAAAATAGTCTTCAACTAGTGTGACAACATGATTTTCAAAAGGCTTAAGTTTTTAAAAATGTAGCTGTGGCGGATGTTTAGCACCGGATAAAATTCTATCCCGCATGTAAGGAGCAGTTGAGAGAACTGGGTGCCGTCAGCCTAGAGAAGGTGAGACGGGGAAACACTCTTCACATAGCTGAGAGAAAGGGAACCACACGGCCCCCATGTGACTCCAAGTGGGGGTGGAAGACGCGTGCCAAGGTGAAGCTCCGTCTAAGGAGAACCTTCCTCCCTGGACTGCAAAGTCCGACAGGTGAGCCAGAGGAGTGTCTGTTGTCCGAGTTGTTTTGGCAGGAGACAAGATGACCACTTGGTGGGATGTGACAGAGAGAATCCTTATTCTAGACGCGAAGTTACTTTTCCAAAATCCCTTTTAAATTCGAGAACTACTGAGTCTAAGAAAGCGTCCATTGGAGGAGTCTCCGCACGGTTTGCATCTCCAGGCTGGAATCCTCTCCTTTGGCTGGGATGCTCTTCCACTGTCCCTAGAAGATGCTTCCAGAAGGCCCCACCTCTGGCAGGAGTAGCACGTGGACCCATCAGTGTCAAGGGTAAGAATGAGTCGTTCCAGTTGGCTCCTTCACCTTGGGATACTGAAAGCCAGCTTGGCAGATTTATGAGGTACTAGCGCAGCAAGGATGGCCTTAGAGCAAATAATGGGGAGAAACCAGAAGACACAATTAGCTCAGGAAGGCAGCTCTCCAGTGAGATGTCGTCAAGCAAAGCAATGGGGGCATTCAGGGATCGGGGGGTTGGAAATGCTGTAATTTCACGTGGTCCTCAATTGGTAAAAGCACCACCCTGGGCACTGCTCCTGTGGCAGCCATCCCCTCCCTGAGAGCCGTGGCTGTTGGCTCAGCAACGTCAACACTTGGATCCATATCATTCCCTGATGAGTGGCTGGTGCAGAAACATCCACCGACAAGGCACTCACCGCAGACTTAATCCCTCCTGCAGCCATTCAACAAATATTAAAGAAGTACGTGCAATGTGCCAGGCGGGCACTAGGCTATGCATTGGCTGATCGGTGAAGGAAAAACCACCACCAACAGATAAGGCCCCTGCCCTTACATGTTCATAGTCTAGTAGAAAAGGCAGGAAGAAAAAAAATCTCTTAAAATGTACGAATCGAATACACACTTGTCAGTTGAGGTCAGTGCAGTGACAGCCTTTGAGGTTGGGTGGTGAGGTGGTGACATCTAGGTAGACATCTGAGCCAAAGAAGGTAGGGAAGCTAGCATGTAACAACGCTCTGATGCGATGATGATTTTTTTTTTGACAGGCAGAGTTAGACAGTGAGAGAGAGAAAGGTCTTCCTTCTGTTGGTTCACCCCACAAATGGCTGCTATGGCCGGCGCTGTGCTGATCCGAAGCCAGGAGCCAGGTGCTTCCTCCTGGTCTCCCATACGGGAGACCTCCACTGCCCTCCTGGGCCACAGCAGAGAGCTGGACTGGAAGAGGAGCAATTGGGACAGAACCAGCACCCCAACCAGGACTAGAACCCCATGTGCTGGCGCCGCAGGTCTAAGATTAGCCTAGTGAGCCGCAGCACCAGCCTATTTATTTGGTTCTAATGCAGGCAGCAGTGTGGTTAAGACTCCAAAGGTAGTGCTTGGTTCCACTGCCGTGTGCCCTTGGACAAGTGCCTCAACCTCTCTGTGCTCCTGTTTCTTCTCCTGCAACATGACTACAATAGAACCCACTTCATCCTACATTTGAAGTGACTGAGCACCTTGACTGCCTTGTCCCACTGCCCAGAACACAGCCTGGGACACAGTGGTCTCTCAATCAAGAGAAGGAATAACTAAGTGTCTGAACAGCCCCTGCCACAGTGAGTGCAGCAGGTGCTGGCCACGATCAGCTACAATGTCATTGCTATTGACTGCCCTCTGGTGAGATCAAGGCACTTCTCTGCAAAGGAGTCACCTCCCTCCTCCCTCAGAAGTCACGCCGGCTTGGGCCAGCTCAGGGAAGCATTCACCCTCCAGAATCTCTCTTCCAAATTGCACAGATTGCCTGGGTTTGTGCACGCAAGCGCGCACACACACACACACACACACACGTGCTGCTCAGCCGAAAAAGGGACTTTGCACACACTGCCTCCCCAAGGCTTCTACAGCAGAATTTAATCTTCCCCTGGGCTAGAGGTTTTGTTCTCCTGTGCTCAGTTCCATTTCTGTCAATGATTATCCAGCCAGTCATCTCCCCAGAGGTGGGACGGTTGTCTTGAGAAAGCGCATGTTTGCCTGCCACTGCAAACGCACCTGTGCTGGGCGTGCAAGGGGCAAGGTGGGCAGGGCCCGGTCGGAAGTGCCCTGTATTTATGCTGAAGTACGTGCAGTTCAACTACCCACTGGGAATATGAGCCTGCAGGATGATGCTTAATCCAGGCTCATTCAGAAGGGGCCGGGGCTGTTCCCTCCCCTCCCTTCTTGCCTCTGCGCTCATATAATCCAGGCTGCCTGCCGCCAGCTTTTGCCCACTGGAATCCCTGACCCCGAGCGCAGGAAGGTGCAGAGAGGTGGAGAACGAGCGCTTTCTCCTGCGAGATGGCAGGGCTCTGCCTGGCTGCTGCCGCACTGCTGGTGGCGACAGTTCTTAGCAAATACAAGAAGAGCCCGGAGCAGGTGGGGAGCCAGGCAGTGTGCTTGGCCCTGGGCCTCTGGGCGGCCGTTTGCCTCATCAGCCTGTCCCTGTTCTGGGGCCTTGCACTCTTCTCCCTGTCATGTCTCCTCATGTACACTTACCTGTCTGAGCAAGAGTGGTTGCCGGTGGATCAAAAGGCCGTTCTGGTGACAGGTAAGCGGACGGGCGCTGGAATTCTTACCGAGCGAGGGTAGGGTCTGAAACTTGCTTGGCTTCTGTGGGACTCTGTCAAATTTGGCTTTGCAATGACATACTTGGCATGCAGAAAATGAAAGCACCTCCCTAGTGTTTTTCGCTGCGTGGTTCTGTTCGCTTCGAGAGGTGCAGGGGAAGGAGCCAGGGCTGGGAAAGAGAGGTGAAGGTGGAGTGCATCCGAGCACTGACTTTGCACTTTCCAAGGAATGGCTATCAATAAGCAAGACCGCCGTGTTTTGTGTGTTTCTTTGTACCGGCAATGTCCTGTGTTTGTCTTTAGGCTTAACCAGCATTTTGTCTGGAGGAATGCTGGGCTGGGTTCTAGACATGGGCTCAGGCTCCTTGGGTGGGCAGGAGAGCTTACAAAGCCAGGTTCTCCCGTCCTTGGTTGTGCTTTTGAAATCGCGAGGGAATCCACCTATGCCGTCTGCCTGGCCGCTCTGCAGAGCCTTGGGTTCTGCCTGAACCCTTCCTGAACGGGTCTGTCATTAGCCTGCTAATGTTTCTTAATTGGATCGAGCCAGCCGTGTGTCTGGTGTCCAGTTGCTCATTAGCCGACTCCTGCTTTTGTGTTTTATTCCATTGCAAGTATTGAGGCCAAATTAAATTCCTTTGAGTTGTGAAACTGGTTTGTTTGGTTGTGAAGTTCCAGCGTGGATAGGGCTTTAATTAGGATTATCCAGAGTTATCCTAACCTAGAAAGCACTGCCAAGATAAAGAGAGGATCCCAGCTGCAGAGTAGGTTACAGGGTGCCTCCCCTCAACCCCGTCCCCTGCCCCCACCCCCAGCTCCCAGTTTGATCTGCTGGGTGAAGGACTGCACGCGGTGTGTGTGGAAAGAAACAGGGGGCCTTGGCAATTCTCCGAGAAGTGAACTCTAAAGTGATTTTTGTCTATCTCCCCTTTTACTTGAACCTAATAACACAACTCCGTCTTGAAATGCAAGTTGGCGCTTGATGGGATTTTTAAGTACTGTGGGAAACATGCTTCTTACAGAAAGTGTGAGGTAGAAAACACAGCCGTGCAAGGGCCGTTTATCTGCATGAGCATGTGCTACGGTCTGCGCTCCTGCAGGTAAACGGGCTGCGTTTTTGCTTTTCTCTAGAATTCTAAGATGACCTGGATGAGAACCTGTAACACTGTCTTAATTGTTGCAATCTGTGTACAGCGGCCAGTACTTGAGAATGATCCAGATCAGACTGACTTCCCATACTTGTCCATCTGAGTGAAAGGAGATGGAACAAATCAGCATATTAAAAAAGAAATGGCAAGGCCAAGGGTGATGCTGATAGGATCTCCCCAGGAGTTTCCTGAGGAATGACATGCAGGGAGCGGCACTGCTAAGGCTAACAAATGAGTAGATAAACCTCAGGATAAATTCAGGGGAAGCTCAGGGTAGCTGAGACCATGACAACTGCTCTTGCTATTTCATCTTGTCAGCATTCTTGATGCCATGCGTTTAAAGCTGGAGGCCTGTGTTAATGCTCACAGACACACACCCAGACCAGGGTGTGCAGCTACTGAAATGCCCCAGCCTGTTGAATGGCCAGCAGGCGGTCCAGATAAGGTTTCCAGATCTTTGTCCTAAATGGAGAAATGTCAAATGTGAGTTTAGTCAGAGCAGAAAACACTGAGCCACCCTGAGTTCACAATAGCTTGTGTTTGTAACAAGCTTGTGCCTCACCTCCCAAAGACACAGTCCTAAACGCCAGAATCCCGGATGTTGAAATCTGGAAAAGGCAAAATCCCCAGAGTCTAAAATCTTCAAAGATCAAAAGCTGGGAAAAACAAAAAAACATGTAAAACTTCTTTTCTTTTCTTTTCTTTCTTTCTTTCTTTCTTTCTTTCTTTCTTTCTTTCTTTTCTTTTCTTTTCTTTTTTTTTTTTTTTGACAGGCAGAGTGGACAGTGAGAGAGAGAGAGACAGAGAGAAAGATCTTCCTTTTCTGTTGGTTCACCCTCCAATGGCCGCTGCGGCCGGCGCACTGCGCTCATCCGAAGCCAGGAGCCAGGTGCTTCTCCTGGTCTCCCATGCGGGTGCAGGGCCCAAGGACTTGGGCCATCCTCCACTACCTTCTCCAGGCCACAGCAGAGAGCTGGACTGGAAGAGGGGCAACCGGGACAGAATCCGGCGCCCCAACTGGGACTAGAACCCAGTGTGCCAGCGCCGCAGGTGGAGGATTAGCCTATTGAGCCATGGTGCCGGCCTAAAAATTCTTTTAAAAGACACTTGCTTACATTTTTAATAGGGGATTTATTTGGAGAACAGATAAAAACATGACAGAAGAGTTCACAGGCCACTTTAGACAATCAAAATAAGCAACAACCACATATATACTTGTGTAAGCATAAACACTCAGAAAGTTGAACGGTGGTCTCGTGGGTCCGTAACGGTGCTGAGCAGACACAGCGTAATGGAGAAACACACAGGACTGTGCATGCCTGGCTGGGGACCTTGTCCACTGCCTGAAATACTGGGCTGGACAACCTGGTTCTTTTGATGAGCTCACTCAAAGCCACCGCATTTGCAGTTGCCCAGAGACGAGATCTCAGAAAATTTTTATCTTTCACAAATGCAAAAGTACATTTATTGAGGAATTTTCCACCTTCTTAGGTACTCAAATAATGTTTCCACACAAAGTAAGCATGGAGATCATGGACTTTTGACACCAAATTAAAAAAAAAAAAAGAAATGCATAGAACAGAGTCTCTATAAAATGTATACCTCTTGTATCAGAAGCAATGTGAAGATGAAATACAGAGCATAGTGAATTGTGACTAACAACTCTGGAAGCTCAATATAGTGAGGAAAGGCCGGCACCACGGCTCAATAGGCTGACCCTCCGCCTGCGGCGCCAGCACACTGGCTTCTAGTCCCGGTTGGGGCGCCGGATTCTGTCCCGGTTGCCCCTCTTCCAGGCAGATGTTTGGGAGGGGGGTGTGGATCTCAAATAGGACATGCTGAGACGGGGGTCAAGGAGCTGCAGTCTTCAGGCCATCACACTGTCCTTGGATGGGAGGGGAGAGGAGGCTTCAACACCAGGCACTCGGCACCCGTGGACTCTCACGTCCTGGTATGGCCCTCAGACAGCGCTGCAGCCACTGGCACCATGGTTAATGCACACAGAAGTGCTTGGGAGGTCCAGGGTACAGGGCCATCTCCTGCAATCATTCCTAGCTGTGTGGCACTCGGCACCCGTGGACTCTCACGTCCTGGTATGGCCCTCAGACAGCGCTGCAGCCACTGGCACCATGGTTAATGCACACAGAAGTGCTTGGGAGGTCCAGGGTACAGGGCCATCTCCTGCAATCATTCCTAGCTGTGTGGCCTTTGGTACCTCTGTTTTCTCCTCTGTAAACAGGGAATGATCACATTTACAGGAACACAACTCAGACTCTCAAAGGTGGAATTAGAGGAGAGAGTGAGTGGGAGAGAGATACGACAGGGTGACTGTGGGGGGGGGGGGTCGAGGAGTGGTTACAAGGAATCAAGAGATAAAAAAGACTGACAAACAGATGGAGAGAAGAAACATCCATTTATTCATTTAATAAATATTTATTGAGAACCCAGGATGTGTCATGAATAAATATTTTCCACAGATAGTGGTGGAAGAAAATTTAGACTTTTTATTGTCAAGCAATGGGATCAGAATTGCTACTTATCCTTGACTTTGAACCCACACTCACTGGGGTTCCCTCCTCATCACCAGCATTTCCTTCCCAGCCCGTCCGAGCTTGCTAGGGGACACACAGGTAACTTGGGTGTTCCACCCTCAGTCCTTTCATCTTCACCCCTCTCGAGTTCTTCAGCCATCCTGAGTGTGAAGCACTGATTTCACATCTCCCACGTGCAGGGCACACGGCTAGAGGCCTCACTGTCCGACGGGAAGACAAGTCCACCTCTAACGGTGGCTAAGTTGAGCGTGGAGGAATCTGCAGGAGACCTCCAAGGTGCCATGCGGTGGGGCAGGTCCTGTGGATGGGCTGGGAGGATTCGACAAAGGAGGGGACTTGTTAAGAATCAGACAGCAGGGGCCGGTGCTGTGACATGGAAGACTAAACCTCCGCCTGCAGTACCGGTATCCATACGCACACTGGTTCGAGTCCCGGCTGCTCCTCTTTCTATCCAGCTCTCTGCTATGGCCTGGGAAATCAGTAGAAGATGAACCTGCAAGGGAGACCCAGAAGAAGCTCCTGGTTCCTGGTTTTGGGTCAGCGCAGATCCAGCCATTGTGGCCATTTCCAGAACAAGCCAACAGATGGAAGATCTTTCTCTCTGTCTCTACTTCTGTCTGTCTGAAAATCTACCCCCCAAATAAATAAAAATCTTAGAAAAAAATCCGACAGTATGTCTCTAGAGGGAAAATATACCAGGCTAATTTTTTGCACAGCCAGTACTGCATTTAAAACTCATTTATTAGATAATGTTTAATTGAAATTTTAAAAGTCGAATATAACAGAAGATGGATCTGGGAAAGGAATTGAGATCTGTTTTCAGTGAAGGTCTTTTTTTTTTTTTTTTACTGTTCCAAATAAAGGGCTCATGGAGGTAATAACTGACATTCTGTGTACAAGGAAACTGTGTCCAAAGCCACTGGCCTTCTAAGGGGCAAGAGGTCAGTTTCATCTGCATCAAAAGCCCTCCTGACATTAGCAGGGCTACAGCCATAGTTAGCTATTAGCCCACAGAGGCTATCTGGACAAAACACACATCCACTCATCAAGTAAATATTGAATATTATGTGCTCATGACTGCTTGATAAAGAACCTGGCAACTGACTGGATACAGGCGGGATGATGAAAAAGGCTACTGTGGACAGGGATGGGGGTGTTTGCAGAGCGTGATCATCTGAGAGATGCTGTATGCTAAGTTTGACTTCAGAACCGACTTTGAGACCAGGAAAGGTGGTTCAGGTGGAATGTCACAGGCCGTTGGAAATACAGGTGGACTGAGCACAG